TGAGCTGGCAGGCGAGGTCCAGGATGCAGGCAGGTGGAGAGCGGCGAGCAGAGACCAAAGCTGCTGTGGCCGGTTGATGAGAGTGGACCACCAAGAGAAGGTCAGTGTTCTTTCAAATAGAAAGACTCCACTCAGGTGTCAAACTGAGGAACACAAAGTGTATGAGTTAACGGGTGTAGTCTCAACTACAATGTTTAAGCGGCCTGATTGTCACCGTGGAGATGGAAACAGTGTGGCGATGGACCGTGGTACCATTATAACCCTGCACGTCAAACAGCATCATTTCCCCCGGGTGGGAGAGGACGGGAATCCACCAAGAAACTGCGTCCGAGGAAAGACCTCAGGTTTGTCAATCCCGAGGTCAGTCCAACACTTCTGGACATGAGGTCATTCTTCATTGGCCTGACTTCTTACATCAAATCTGATATCAAATGTAAGATTTAGAAGAAAATATGGGATGTGTAAAAGTGTTCTTTAGAAGCTGGTGAATGGATCAATGTCCTTTTAGAAAGAATGAAAACATTTGTAGTTGAAGCTGCAGGGAGCTCAGAGTGTGTGCATCCATGCAAGCAGGTGTGGGAGACTCCTGCAGTGAAGATGATCCACAGCTCAGCCCAGAGAGGTTTTCACGCTGCAGTGCCAGCTTCTCCCTGTAGAGGGCAGTCTTTCCTTTCCAAACCACCTGTGTTTGGCAGTTTTTTGGGAGTCGAGCTTGTGTATCTGCATCAGAACAGCTGCCTGTAAAATAAATCTAAATGATCTTTGAAAAACCAACAAAATATATTTTTTATTATGATTTAGTTCAGCAAGAACACGTGGCTGGAGCCCAGCTGAGGCCACGGGTGGAGAGGTGGAGCACACCCACCTTTGTTTCTGTGTTTTGCTCTTCATATGTGAGCTTAAGATCAAAAGATTGAAATTATTTCTGCACAAAAAGATCAAATCAAAAGTTCATGTTTCACCAGTGTCCCTGTCTTTGTGTGATAAACAGGACTTACTCCTCATTTCCTGTCTCATCCTCCGCTCAGGTTTCAGCCTGTTCTTGGCTTCATATAATGTCATAGCGAGGCGATAGCCTTACCACGGTCACCTCGGGCACAGAAGCCTCAAAAGGGGAGGAGCCAAAATAGCTATTTTCAGACAGAAGATGAGCTGAGGGCTACAGCATGGCTTGGATAAGATATTAAAGGATTATTTCCCAATATGAATAATGCAAAGCTGCTCTAGTAGAGCCCAAAGTTAGAAAGATAAAGCTGGAAAAGAGTTGGAGAGATCCATCAGTTCAGATGATCAGACGATCCAAATATAAAAGACTTGTTGTGTTATGGAGAGTTAAATAAATGAATCAGCGCTCACACCGAGCGTTTGGTTACTGTGGTTACTGTGAGGCTCAATTGTGACCGACAGGAGCTGAATGACAGACGATCTCAGAAAACATGAAAGAAGGTCAGATGGAGGAGGGGGCTTCAAGGACAGATGATGACAGGGTAATAAAACCCAGAGACGAAGGATTGATTCGCGTTGAGCTGCGGGCTCGAACGTTGGATTGTGCAGACTTTGATGACCTGCAGTCATTCTGCTGAAAGTCCTTGACGAAGACATTTATATGAGACAATTTCCAGTTATGGGTTCAGGAGGTGGCCGCTCATCTCCCTCGGCCCTGTTTGAAGATTTTATGGTTTGTTGTCACAGGACTAAGTGCGTTGGTGGGTTCCTGTATCTGTGACCTCCATCAGACGCTCTGTGGAGCTCGAGCTGTTTGTTCTTCCTCCTAGAGCTGCTCTGTAATTCAGACACACAGTAATAACCTGTCAGCTACACAGAAGTGTGTAAATGACCGTTTCAGCTTTCTGACATCAGACCAATCGTTCGTGATGCCAGTGAACATCCTCCAGTTTATCCCCGTCTCTGACTCTAATGGACCTTTATTTCATAAAGATGCTTCATAAAATTAACAAATGAAACGAGCGACATTGTGTTGCAGTGGTCGGCCCTGTTGTCTCACAGCATGAAGCGTCTGAATTCGCAGGCTGGGCGGGGTTTCCACTTGGAATCGGTTTGATGTTCTGGTGGTTTTAATAACGTTTCTCATTTGCTTTCAGACCCTGAAGTTATGTGCACGGTTCATCTCTGCACCGTTTCTCAAACAGAGATAAGTGGAGGAACTGCACCACTTAGGAAACTAGCGCTGTCGTCATAGCAGCTAAGAAAGAAAACCAGTCCTGGGCCGATGTGACGGCGAGGGGCTGCTTTCACCTGGACATTTAGTTTGATCAGCATTTTAATCTTTTTTGTTTTTAAATAAAAATATTATTTTACTTAATGTTCCACTTTGACTGACTCATATTTCACATGGTGTGTCTGGGATTCACTCGGATGTTGACCTGACAACTCATCAGATTTATATTTTGGTCCTTTCTTGACTCTGTTCTGGTGCACTGACCTTAGTCTGCACATAACTCCAAACCCACAGACGTGACCATCACGTGTTACGCAGAGAAGAACATGTTAGATGTGGTTTGTAATGCACTTTCACGCTCCTTTGAATAATAACAGTATCTAGCACAATGCTTCTTCTGCTAGTTGTTGTAAACGTGCTGTTTGCAGGTCTTTAAAGAAGTCAAAAGGTCGTCTGCGTAACTGAAACATCTCCAGGCAGATATTTTGAAGCCCTCATCTAAATAAAAGGTTAATTAAAATTAAATTAAAATTAAAAAACAAAGGAAAATAAAACTTTAAAATGAGGTTTACTTGTTACTTGTGTATCCGAGACTGTCACATCTATGAAGCCAGTGTGCCACGCAACCCACGCAGGCACAGGGAGAACACAGAGGCGCCGTGGATCATCGTGGATCATCGTGGATCATCAGTCATTTGTTGGAAAAAGTGTTTGCAGTAACTTTACTGTAATTAAAGCAAAACTATTAACGGCTTTTACAAAAAGTTGCTATAACTAGATTTTATCCGTTCTCTTTGCTTATCCTTATGAGGGCTGCGGGGGGTGGAGCCTATCCCCGCTACCATAGGTCGAGGTGCAGGCTACATCCGGGACAGCTCGACAGTCTGTTGCAAACAATTATTGTAAATTTATTGTAGAGTTTGTGTATATTTTCTTTACAGTAAATGTAATTGACTCTATTTTAACTGCTAAGGCCCAGAGCAGTACCTCCTCTCGGTTTAATGACCTCACACCGACGCTAGGTGGCAGCAGCTGGAGGCAGATGTGAGTGTAGCAGCTTTGAATATGGAAATCAGCCCCACTAATCTCAGCTGCACACATCACAGAGTGGACTTCAGCAGCACAGTGGAGGAAGTCTGTGCGTCAGAGCGAGCCTGGATGAGAACTCTGACCTGCTTCGGTCACTGGGATCATCTTCACGGTCAGCTCCTCATCTCCTTCTTTCATGAATCAAACGTAAAGGCGGCAGTGTTTAGTCTTCAGTGACTCGGTTCATCCTGACTGGGTGGAACTGCTCTGAACACTAACTGCCTGATTTCCTGCAACAATCAATCCCACTGTTTCTAATTGGACGTGGTAGCGCCCCCTCCTCCTCTTCCTCCGCTCTCCGCTTTATTGTCACTGACATTCGGATTATTCCCTCACAGCAGCAGCAGCGCGCTCCTCCTCCTCCTCCTCCTCCTCCTCGTCTCCTCCGTCCGACAATGCGGCCACAAACTAAGGATTTATAATTTCTCCGTCGTTTCCTCGTCGTCTGCACGGTAAGAGAAATCTTTCCTTCCTTCCTCGTCTTGTTTCGCTTTGAGCGTTTCTTTAAAATGTTTTCGTGCTGCTGAGCCACGCGCACGCGAGACAGCGTGTGGACGCGCACCGCGTGAAGTGGGTTACCGGTGGGAGCTTTGGTGTTGTGCTCGGGCTGTTTGACTTTAACTTGCAGAGAACTGAGCTGCGTGTGTGTGTGTGTGTGCACACGCGCGCGCGCGCGTGAGAGAGAGAGACTGCTTGCGCGCGCTCGGTGGCTCTTTGGATCCGAGCCGTTTGTTGGGGACCATCAGCGCTGGATCCGCGCACCCCCCCCCCATGTTTACTTGACTCACTGCTGGACAGTCCGCGTGCCGCCGTGCACGCCTGCAGAGGTGACGGGGTCGCGCTCATACAGGATTTTTTGCCCGTGATTGGCCGCTCTTCACCGGAGTAATCTGAGGTGGGCCCCCGGAGGCTCCACTGACCCCACTCTCATATCGACCCCTCTAATAGAAGACACTTACACCCCCACCCACACCCCCACCATCTCCTCCAGAATTTTGGGTGGCATATGGCTGCTTCTGCTCCGAGGCTCACAGATGTTCGGCTGTTACATCAGCAGCCTTGTTTGGAGACAAGACGCTCAAACCACATTCTGCGTGTGTGTGTGTGCAGGAGTGTGTGTGTGTTAGTGTCATTATGGGGGCCTGTGGCTCAGTAATTGCTATGGTCTGATCTCGTTGTGTCCTCACTGGAGAGCTCTAATCCTCAGCTGAAAGTAAGCTCGCGCAGAAAGAGTCACAGTGATCCGGGATGTATTTCAGTGGGAAATATGCAAATATCATCTCTACAGGAGGCAGCATCCGTGGGCTCGATCTGTGATTATTCACCTTTTGCAGTGTCTGCTCTCCCGCCTTCACAGGAGGGAGACGTGATCATGTTTCTCCCGTCAGCACTTTAGAAGCAGGTCACAGTCGAGGTATAAAGCAATAATATTCATTATATTTCTAAAACTGTGGAACAGATTCCCCAAAACACTCCAGATGGTTAAATAAATAAATAAAAGTTACCATTTGAGAAGCTGCAACATTTTCCCCCCTTTTAAAAATGTTTTGGGAAACGGCTTCAGTCATGGATAAATGTTCAGAATCAACCAACAGACAGTCCAAGCAGATTTAAGTTACACAGAAATATTAAAGTCAAAACAACAAAGCTTGGCATAAACTGACCAAGCAGTTTATTAATGTGAGGCTCAGTGTTTACAGACAAACACTGTTGTTCCTGCTCTTGTGACTGAACCCAGTACACAACCTTCAGGATAAACTGGGCCCATCAACCGTCTGAGTGCTGATTAGCTCTCAAAGACTTGATTAAAAGACAGGATGAGCACCTGATGAAGCACCTGATGAAGCACCTGCTAGCCTAGCAACGATCAGGCTTTTTCAAAGACGCCGGAAACACGATGACCTTCACCTTCATACGGGCTGGTTTTTGTTCACTGGGCCTCGGATGAGACTGTTGAGGTGCTGCGGTACGTTTCATTGGTTGGGAAGCCCTCCGTAGGAACACCAGCTTGCTTGGCTTTAGATCCAACTTCTGAAATGTAGGATCTAAATGTTTGTCTCACCTCTCAGCTGCTGATTTACTGCTCAGTCCGATTGTCTCAGCTACGACCGTGATTGTAGGAAACGATAAGCAGGCTGCGTGCTGTTTCACTGAAATTCGAGTGACGGCCTGATGTGTTTATGTTGTATTGTTCAAAATCGAAACAAAGTTACTGTGTCAACATACGCAGTAAGACGCAAGCAATGATATTACAGGCAAAAACGTCAATAACGATTCATGATTCCTGTTTATGCCACTTAGTGTGGATTCAATTCAATCATCTGCACATTCAAGAATTCCAGAAACCAGTAAAATGACGAGTTGTTGTCTCACAGTTACAGTTACAAGTAGGGGTGGGGGAAAAAATGGATACTGTGTAGCATGGTGATATTTTGTTTGCTAATAATGTATGGATACAGGGACAGCAGAAATCGATATTTTGTTACAAAAAGGTTTTTGTGCTCTGACTTCAGAGCATGTTGATCCTTTTT